AGAGCCGGTTGCGGTAGAGCCCTCCACTGAGCCTGCCTCCACCACTGTTGAGTTGCCTCCGGGACCTTCCACTACTGCTGGTCCTTCTATTTCAGTTGGCCCGGGGATTCCATCTTCCCGGGCCCATCCCATCACTGCCCACATGCTGAGCCAGGCACTTCATAGCTTGAACAACTGGATATTAGCTGCGTCATCCAAGTTGTCTATACTGTCTTCTACCATTGCGGCTCAGTCAGCACCACACCCAGTACAGATTCCACAGTCCATTGAGGACACATTGAAGAAGATCCTGGAGAACCAGGAAAAGATTATCAGGACTCAGGATGCCTTGTCTAAGGCAACGGATTCACACGGCAAGGCTCTGAAGGAGCTTGCCAGGGAGCACAAGAAATTGCGAAAAACACGGGCTTCTAAGGAGTCTGTGAAGGAGCTTAGAGCAGATGTGGACAAGCTGAAGGCTGACTCATTACCTTTAGACTTGCTATTTGGGGATCCAGCTCCAGCAGCTGCACCAGCAGCAGAGCCACAGCAGGAGCAGACACAGATGCTTCCTAGGAAGAAGAGGAAGCTCCCCAGTGCAGATGAGGCGATCATCCAGTTGGTAGACCCACCGGAGGCCTCCTCCAGTCAGCCACAGGATGCCCCTGATATTCAGCCTGTCCAGGTCCAGGCCCCAGTCCCAGCAGCTGAGCAGCAGGAGACCGGGAACCAGTCTAAGGTTCCTGCGCATACAGAGGACCCTGGGACCACAGATGATCCCATGCAGATGGACATGGCTTAGGGAGTCTTCATATCCTTTCCTATACTTTTTGATGCTTATTTTTGCTTTAGTTGGCATTGGGGACAATGCCAGCTTTTATTCGAGGGGGTGCGCCCTTGATTTTTGGATGACTGTAAATATTAATACTATTTTATGCTTTCTTTTGATTTTCTGTTGGTCTGTATATAACTTTACATTTAGTTACTTTCATCGTACTTTTTATCTTCTTTTTGGGTCTGTATATAAAGTTACATTATTGTATATATTCATCCCCCGTTGTATATTCATTCCCCGTTTGTACATATTCATTCTATTTTCTATTTTTCGTAAAAAAAAATTCGTTTTTATTTTCTTATATAGGCTCGTAGCTTTTTGTTTTGTTTTGAAGCTTTTAATAAGCCTTTGGTTTTCTTAATGCCACGGTTCTTTCCAAAGGTGGAATATTGTGTGAACCGGGTGGCTCTTCCCAATGATAGATGTCGAGACAACCTTCTTAAGGGTTTGAGTCCGTTTTTGTTTTTCTTGTTTCTTTCGGTATTTTATAGTTAAGAGTACCTCAAGCAAAGCTTCACTTGGGCCTAACACATTTTCCTTTGATCCCATGGTCAAAAATAAAATGTTGTGTTTAGGATGGTGAAAGTAGCGACCTTGAGACTCTTGAGTTGACCAAACAATCATCATGTGGTCTTTCGGACTATTGTGTGCTCAATCATGTCTAAGGTTGTTGTGGGCCCCCGACTCTATGTCTTTAGCAATCCCCTAGCTTCTGTGGTGAGAAATCGAATTGCAAGTCCAAGTCCCGAGCCATTGGTCTAGAACTTGCCCTGAATGTTTGTTGAGGCGAAATCTTGAGTGAAATTTGACTTGAGAAGTGATTATAGGCTCTCCTTGATCCAAATGATAGTTGAACAAATTCCATAGCCTACCAATGATACGATCCCTAGTTAACCCCTTTTGAGCCTTAGACCTTTTTCTTTCAAGAACCATGTTACAAGCCTATACCCGTTCTAAAAGATACCCTCTCTTGGCACCCGATCTTTCCTTGAGCACATGGCAAAAGTATAAGTTTGGGGGGGAAGACGAGGAGTGCAACAAGTGGTAAAAAGGCACAAAAGTGAAGAAAAGGAAAGGCATTGAAAAAGAAAGAAAAGCAAAAAGATAAAGAGAAAGTACAATGTGAAAAAGAATAAAAAGGGATTCAAGAAAAGCAATGAAAAAGAAAGAAAGGTGTGAAAAGTTGAAAAGGGAGAAAAGGTTTGAAATGCATAATAAAGAGTGAGAATGAGTCTCTCTAACCCCTTGGAAAGAGGTAAAATGACTCAAAGAGCCAAGTGAATTGTGCCTAATGAATCAAAAGAAGTGCTTAAGGGAAGATGGAACCCACTTAGACCAAAACATTTCCTACCCTAAACCAAAAGCCTTCACAATGATTCCACAAAAGCCCTATATGATCTTAAGTTGAATGAAGCTTACATTAGTGGATACTTACATAAGGGGCAAGCATATGGTACTTAGAGCCAGACTTGTGACTTTTTCTTGAGAGAGATGAGTGAATCCCCATTAACTTCGGTTTGTGTGTCAATACTCTAAAAGGTGAGGTTTGCTTAGGGAAAGTTGAGGATGTGTGAGTTTGGGTTCCATAATGACCAAAGTAATTGAAAGAGTTCGCTGATGTATTGAGTCAACTCTTGATGCTCTTGTGTCACACTTGATCCATGGTTTTTCAAAGTTTAAAAGTTGTTGATGATTCATTCGTATTGAGGGCAATTGTTAGTCCAAATTGATGCTTGTTGAGGTTACTTTAGGATAGCTGGAAACTCTTGGATTTTACCTTAAGGGATGGGTTTTATTTTGTTTGCTTGAGGACAAGCAAAGGCTTATGTTTGGGGGAGTTGATAACTAGGGAATTTGTAGTGTTTTATGCTCCTTATTGCTTACGCTTTGGTTATAAATTATTACAAAATAATCCCAAAAGGCTCATAAGTTGTGCTTGATTGCAAGTTTGATCGACAAAGTGACGAAATGTCAAGGATCGGCTCAAAAGGAGTGAAACCTGCTCAAGTATCAAAGGCCAAGTAAAATGAGGGAAAACAAGCCTAGTGCGGACCGCACAAAGTTGAATGCGGCCGCACTAGATGGTTCAGAGAGTTGGTAAATCTAGGCTTCAGGCAACGCGGTCGCGGTACACATAGCGCTGTCCGCAGTGAAGGCTTCGCGGCCGCACTACCTTTTTTTTGTGGTCCGTGGACAAGATATTGAGAGAGATGGAATTATGCCAAGTCCAAGCAATGCGGTCCGCGGTCGTTATTGTGCGGACCGCGCCAACTGCCTCCGCGGCAGCAGTCCATTTTACGCGGTCCGTGGAGCCCAAGTTCAGAGAGCTCAGAATTGAAGTCAAAGAGCCTAGCGCGGCCGCGGTCCATTTCATGCGGCCTGCGCTGACCCCGCAGGGGTATTTTTGTCCAGTTTTTCCAGCCTAGTATAAATAGAACATTTTACCATTTTTAGGTCATCAGTTATTTCCAGATTTTGAGCTGCGCTCGTGAGACTCATTTTGTAGCCATTTTTGGCATCTTAGCTTCAAATTAACGATAGATTCTTGTACCTTAATTTAGTATTTAATTAATATGTCTTGTTCTTCATCTATTTTTTCATTTTCTCCTTCAAGCATGAGTAGCTAAACCCATTAGCTAGGGTTGTGGCTCAACCCTAGTATAGGTAATTGATGGGTGTTGCCATCTAGGGTTAGATTGATTATGGGTGTTTGCTATTTGGGTTGATTTTATGTTTTCATCTATAAATTGGTGGTTGCAAACACTGATTTGTGCTTTGTGGATTTGACTCTTCTTGAGAAAGAGAGTTTAAGTCTCCAAAATTGACCCAACAAGGAATTGGGATGGACTCATGAGAAATGATAGTCCCAATTAACGGGTTAAACCTCGAGAGAGTAATCACCCTACTTGAACCCTAGTTGCTTGACCTAATTTGCCTACCCATTTGGTCTCGAGAGAGTCAAGTGGGCAAAACCACTCTCTCTACCGAGAGGTGTGAGAGTGGGTAAAATTGTGCAACGATTATAGCATAAGCCCCAATCATGTCAATGAAACCTTAGTAGCATCTACCCGTCAATTAGCCTCCTAGGTGATGTCACGACCCTAGTGCCCTTCTTCCCATTAGATACAACTTTAGCAATTATCTCGTAGCATAATCTAGTTTCAATTAGTAGTTTGATAATAGTAGTTTATAATTGAAAAACCCAAAAATGTTGGAAATGACATTTAGAACAATTACACGACTCTAGTCTAGATAGATACCCAGCTCCAATTTCTAGCTCTCTGAGGAATTCGATCCCGACCCTCATATCGGGTAAAAGCTATTGCGACCCTCTCTTCCTACTTTATAGTAGTGTGGAGTTGGCTGCGAACACATACCCCAGGCTACTCAAACACCGCTCCATGCAACGAGCGATCCCATTCTACCACCAGGGTATACGCCAAACTACAGCCTCCATGCTACCCCCGGTACCTCTAATATGCGACCTCCAGTCGCAATGGTTAGGAACAACCCTCTCGTCGTGTCTGGCGCACCGGTATATACAATCTCGCCGCTACCACCTGTGACGAGGCCAAACAATGAGCCCCCATCTCATGCTTATGATGGCCCATACTATTCTCCAACTATGGCTTTTGGGGTCTCGGCCCCATACAATCAGACTCCTCGGTACGAATCACCAGTGGAAAATGAAAAGCCTGCCACGACTGTTGAGCCAGATGAGATGGCCAGGAAAATGAAAAGTCTTGAACAGAATATAAAGAATATACAGGGACTAGGTGGTCACAAAAGTGTTTTGTTCAGTGATCAATGCATGTTCCCTCACATCTATTTGCCACGAGGGTTCAAGACCCCAAAATTTGAGAAATATGATGGACACGGCGACCCTATCGCCCACTTGAAAAGGTATTGCAACCAACTGAGGGGTGCAGGAGGAAAGGAAGAGCTGCTGATGGCTTACTTTGGGGAAAGCCTTGTGGGTGTAGCTTCCGAATGGTTCATTGACCAAGACATCTCTCATTGGCATGTTAGGGATGACATGGCCCAGGCTTTCGTCAAACAATTTCAGTACAACATTGATATTGCGCAGGATCTTAATTCTTTGTCCAATATGAAGAAAAAGCCGACCGAAAGTTTTAGGGAGTATGCCATCAAGTGGAGGGAGCAAGCGGCTAGAGTTAAGCCACCCATGGATAACCATGGGTTGATCACTGTTTTTCTGGAGGCTCAAGAGCCTGATTACTTTCAGAACATGATGTCCGCGATGGGTAGACCTTTTGCAGAAGCAATCAAAATAGGGGAGATGGTCGAAAATGGCCTCAAGACTGGCAGAATTGTAAGTCAAGCTGCTCTCAAAGCCACCACCCAAGCTATCCAAAATGGGTCGGGAGGTTTGGCAAATAGAAAGAAGAGAGATGAAGGGTCCATGATGGCTTCGGGATCTAGGGAGTTTCAAAGAGGGGCATCGCACCCTTATGTGCAAGTTCAGCAGGGGCAATCCAGCTACCCTCAACATTATTATCCCCCGCCGATTCCTCAATACTCTGTGGGCCCACCACAATATACAGTGTTCAATGCTCAATCATATGCTCGGCCTCCCAATCAGCAGGTACGGGCACCAGCTCCGAGGGCCCCCCGACCTCAGCAGCAAAATTTTCGGGCACCTTACAATGCTCGTCCCAGGCAGGATTATGGTCGAGAGCAGAGGCCGGTAGAAAAATTCACTCCATTGGCTGAATCATATTCTAGTCTATTCCAGAAGCTGAAGCAAATGGGCGTAATTGGACCCATCGCTCCCCACCATATGCATCCCGATTCGCATGGATTTCAAGCAAATGCTAGATGTGAATATCATTCCGGTGCCCCAGGGCATAGCACTGATGACTGTTGGACTCTGAAAAGAGCCATAGAGAGACTCATTTCCGAAAAACTGATTGTAGTGACGAATGGCGAGGACCCTCCTAACGTGACAAATAATCCGTTGCCAGCACACAATGATGTTCATTTTGTTGGAATGATTGGCCGAGACCAAGAATACAAGCCGGTCGGTCGAGCAGAAATGACAGTGGGTGCAATTCAAGAAGGAGCAGGTCTGGAAGTAAGTCCCAGCCGAGACGTGCCATTGATTGTTAAAGGCGCCCAGAACTCAAATAAGGCAACTTTATTTGTTCCAAAGATCTCGAGGTTGGAAGTTCACTCTAGTGTTCCAAGCCCAAGGTTATATGTACTTGGAGGCCATCCCGACAAAAGGGAGAAGCAGGGAGGTACGAAAGGTATAACAGAGCCGATCGTAATCAAACCTGCCATGCAACTCCCTGTAAACAACACAAAAACCACTCCTTGGAACTACAACAAAACGGTGATGACCTACAAAGGCAAGGAAATCATAGAGGAAGTGGGGGAAACTGGAGGTTTTACTCGATCAGGGAGATGTTACTCTCCAGAAGAGTTGAGGAAGGCCAAGCAAATTAGAGAAGGCCATTTGCCAATAAAGAAGCCAGTCACTGAAGCAGATGCGGAAGAGTTTTTGAAAAAGATGAAAGTTCAGGATTACTCAATCATTGATCAACTAAGAAAGACTCCCGCTCAAATCTCTCTACTATCTCTTCTCCTACATTCCAAAGAGCATGCCCGTGTACTAATCAAGGTCCTGAACGAGGCACATATCTCAGAGGAAACCACAGTGAATCAGTTAGAGAAGATGGCCAACAGATTTTTTGAGGTGAACAGAATCTCCTTTACTGATGATGAACTTCCCGAGGAGGGAGCCGGGCACAATAGGGCTTTGAACTTGATGGTCAAATGTGAGGGTCATTATGTAAAGCGAGTCATGGTTGATGGAGGCTCAAGTGTAGATGTATGCCCTCTCTCTACCTTGCAAAGCATGAAGATCGATACAGACAGAATCCGACCCAGCAATGTTCGCATCCGGGCTTTTGATGGCTCAGCAAGAGATACCATTGGGGAGATCAACCTCACCATGACGATTGGGCCAGTTGACTTTGAGATTGTCTTCCAGGTAGTGGACATGGCCACTTCTTATAACTTTCTTCTTGGAAGGCCATGGATCCATACGGCCCGAGCTGTGCCATCCACCTTGCATCAGATGCTCAAATTTGAACATGACAGGCAAGAAATTATTGTTCACGGAGAAGACGAGTCTTCCATTTATAAAGACCCGTTAATCCCCTGTATTGAGGCCAAGGAAGGGTCTGAGTCCATTGTCTATCAGGCGTTTGAAGTGGTTGCTGTGGACCATGTCGAGGAAGGAAAGCCTATTCTGCATCCTCGTCTTTCCGCCACATCTGTAATGGTGGCTGCAGTTATGATGAGACAAGGTTATAAGCCAGGAAAAGGCTTGGGGGCATCATTGCAAGGAATTTCGGAGCCTATTTCTCCGTTCGGTAACCAGGGTACTTTTGGATTGGGCTTCAAGCCAACACAAGCAGACGAAAACAAAGCCAAACACCGCAAAAAGCATGGATGGGTCTTGCAACAGCCTATCCCTCATATTTTCTACACTTTTGTCAAGCCACGACTCCGAGAGGGTCAAAATTCCTCGGCGCATGCAAACATTGATGAAATTTGCCATGGCCTCAGCGAGATGTTTTCTGAAGTGAATATGATCCAGGCTGGTGAAGGCACTAGTCGTGCCGATATGCAACTAATTGACCCAGACACCATGCTCACCAACTGGGAAGCAACTCCTCTCCCCACAAGGAAGGAGTCTTGGTAGTTTGCTTTTGCAGCTTCTTTTTTGTATTTTTGGGTTATTTTCAGGGTTGTAATCCAAACATCTCAGTATGATTGTTTTGTTTTGATGTTAACCCTTCTATCCTTTCGAATTCAATGAAATGCAGTTCAGTTTCCTGTTAAGTTTTCTATCTTTTCCTTTTCCTAATTCCTGTCATTTTATTTCCATTTCAGTTTTGTTAATGCCGGCTTTAATAACATGACATGCATGCGGAATTCACGCCCAGATCTTAAAAAGCTGTCTAATATCGAAATAATGCATCAAGAGGTTGAATATGATGAAGATGAGGTTGTTGAGGAAATAAAAAGAGAGTTGGAACAATTTGAAAACAAGCCTAAGCCAAACCTCAATGAAACTGAGCCGATTAATATCGGAAGTCCTGAAGAAGTTAGAGAAACGAAGATAAGCATTCACACTGAACAAAAAACCAGAGATGCCTTGATTCAACTTTTATTTGAATATAGAGATGTGTTTGCTTGGTCTTACGATGATATGCCGGGTTTAAGTGCTGATCTGGTGGTTCATAAGCTTCCTACGTATCCTGGTTTTCCACCAGTCCAACAAAAGCAACGAAAATTTAAAACAGACGTGAGTGACAAAATCAAAGAGGAAATAATGAAGCAACTAAGCGCCAATGTGGTCCGAGCTGTCCGATACACTACCTGGGTGGCAAATGTTGTGCCTGTGCCAAAGAAGGATGGAAAAACCAGAGTTTGTGTCGACTATAGGGACCTGAACAAAGCAAGTCCAAAGGATAATTTTCCTTTGCCAAATATCCACATTCTTGTAGATAATTGCGCAAAACATGAGATACAATCGTTCGTGGATTGCTATGCTGGGTACCACCAAATTCTAATGGATGAGGATGATGCAGAAAAGACCGCGTTCACCACGCCATGGGGTACTTATTGTTACAGGGTCATGCCATTCGGTTTAAAGAATGCAGGGGCAACCTACATGAGGGCCATGACTACCATTTTTCACGACATGATGCACAAAGAAATTGAAGTATATGTTGATGATGTTATCATAAAATCAAAGACACAAGCTGATCACGTGTGTGATTTGAAAAAGTTCTTCGAACGGCTTCGAAGGTATGACCTTAAGCTCAATCCAGCCAAGTGTGCATTTGGGGTTCCGTCTGGGAAACTCCTCGGTTTTATAGTCAGCCGGAGGGGCATCGAATTGGATCCATCTAAGATAAAGTCCATTCGAGATCTTCCACCCCCGAAGAACAAAAAGGAAGTCATGAGTTTGCTCGGGAGGCTGAACTACATCAGTAGGTTCATTGCTCAGCTCACAACCACGTGCGAGCCCATCTTTAAGTTGCTGAAAAAGGATGCCGCTATCAGGTGGACAGACGATTGCCAAAAAGCTTTTGACAGGATCAAAGATTATCTGTCAAAACCCCCTGTATTGGTCCCGCCTGAACCTGGTAGGCCTTTGTTTTTATATCTATCGGTGATGGATAATTCCTTTGGATGCGTTCTGGGGCAACATGATGCAACAGGCAAAAAGGAACAGGCAATCTATTATTTGAGCAAGAAGTTCACCAATTATGAGGTTAAGTACACCCTTTTAGAAAGAACATGTTGTGCCTTGACTTGGGTCGCTCAGAAGCTGAGACATTATCTTTTGGCCTACACTACTTACCTCATATCCAGAATGGATCCTTTGAAGTACATCTTCCAAAAGCCAATGCCCACTGGCAGGCTCGCAAAATGGCAAATCTTGCTCACAGAGTTTGACATCGTCTATGTCACTCGCACCGCGATGAAAGCACAGGCTTTGGCAGATCATTTGGCAGAGAATCCAGTTGATAATGAGTACATGCCACTTAGCACATACTTCCCAGACGAAGAGGTCAACTCAATAGAGGAAGTGGTTCCAGACGATCACCCTGTATGGAAAATGTATTTTGATGGAGCTGTCAATATCAAAGGAGTTGGGATCGGGGCAATCCTCATCTCACCTATTGGACATCATTACCCTGCAACGGCCCGACTTCGATTCTTCTGTACCAATAATACGGCAGAATACGAAGCTTGTATCATGGGTTTGAAAATGGCCATCGATCTGGATGTGCATGAACTATTGGTTATGGGAGATTCTGACTTGCTTATCCGGCAAGCTCAAGGCGAATGGGAGACTCGAGACATCAAGCTTATTCCGTACAGACAATGCGTGCAAGACTTGAGCAAAAGATTCAAATCCATCGAGTTCAGGTACATTCCTAGGTTTCACAACGAGCTAGCCGATGCCTTGGCTACTTTAGCCTCGATGATCCCTTATCCAGGCAACGCTCATATTGATCCGCTAGAAATCCAAGTTCGAAATCAACACGGTTACTGCAATACAATTGAGACAGAACCAGATGGTGAACCATGGTATCATGACATAAAACGATTCCTGAAAATGAGAGAATATCCAGAGCATGCCAAAGGAGATCAAAAAAGAACTTTAAGGCGGCTCGCCAGTGGTTTCTTCCTGAATGGGGAAATTCTGTACAAAAGGACCCCAGATTTAAACTTGTTGAGATGCATAGATGCTACAGAAGCAGAGCAGATCATGGGTGAAGTGCATTCGGGGGTGTGCGGACCTCACATGAATGGATATGTTTTGGCGAAGAAGATTCTGCGGGCGGGGTATTATTGGCTTACTATGGAGCGAGATTGCTTCAGTTTTGTTCGCAAGTGTCACCAATGCCAGATTCATGGTGATTTGATTCACTCGCCTCCTTCAGAGTTGCATCCCATGTCCTCTCCTTGGCCTTTTGTTGCTTGGGGAATGGATGTTATTGGTCCAATCGAGCCAAAGGCTTCAAATGGGCATAGATTCATTTTGGTTGCAATTGATTACTTCACCAAGTGGGTGGAGGCCGTCACTTTCAAAGCAGTCACCAAGAAAGCAGTGGTAGACTTTGTTCATTCCAACATCATCTGTCGCTTTGGTATCCCAAAGACCATTATCACTGACAATGCAGCCAATCTAAATAGTCATTTGATGAAGGAGGTATGCGAACAATTTAAAATCATGCATCATCATTCTACCCCTTACCGGCCAAAAGCTAATGGAGCCGTTGAAGCGGCAAACAAGAACATCAAGAAGATTCTTAGGAAAATGATCCAAGGTTCCAGGCAATGGCATGAAAAGCTGCCTTTTGCTCTTTTGGGATACCGCACGACTGTTCGCACATCTGTTGGTGCAACTCCGTATCTGCTTGTATATGGAACTGAAGCTGTAATACCCGCTGAAGTCGAAATTCCCTCTCTCCGAATTATTGTGGAATCAGAGATTGAAGACACTGAGTGGGTCAAGACCCGATTAGAACAACTGATGTTGATCGATGAAAAACGGCTAGCAGCAGTGTGTTTCGGCCAGTTATATCAGCAAAGAATGGCACGCGCTTACAATAAGAAAGTGCGCCCAAGGCGATTTGAGGTAGGCCAGCTGGTTTTGAAACGCATCCTTCCGCACCAGGTAGAAGCTAAAGGAAAGTTCGCCCCGAACTGGCAAGGACCTTACATCATCAAGAAAGTGTTACCAAAAGGGGCCTTGCACTTGGTAGATGAAGAAGGACGGGTACCAGACATGACTATTAATGCAGATGCAATCAAAAGATATTATGTCTGATATATACCCACTGTAGAATTTTCACGCATTTATTTTCTCAAATCGAAGTGACGAAGGCTATCATTTGCTAGCTATTCCAAATAGGTGTCACCCTTTTTGTTAATCCTTTTTGGGCAGTATTTGTCTTCCTTGTTTCTCACTTTTTAGAATATGTGTACTTGTAAAAAAGCCAAAACAACAAATCTCTGAGTCATTGAACTACGTCCGACCTGATTCCGAAAGGATACGTAGGCAGCCTTACCCTGGGTTCGGTCCCATCAGAACAAAAAATCCATATTCCCAATACTCCAAAACTGGGGCAGAAGTTTGTTTTATTTCATGGTTTTCCTGTAAAACGGTTCCCAAAGTTGTAATTCAATTCAAGGTTCATTTCGCCTTTTTACCTTTCAAGAACTTCTGATCGATGTTTTTTTTTAGAATGTTTGAAGTCCCCATGCCAAAGGCGTTGGTTAACCTCCCTCCTGCAGTATCTTATTCAAAAAAAAAAAAAAAAGAAGAAGAAGAAGAAAAAGAAAAAAAAAAGAAAGAAAGAAAGAAAAAAGAGAAAAAGAAATGAGAGAGTCTTATTAGTGAAAACCCGTACGGGCACTATAAGGCGACAGTGAGCAGAGAAATGAGAGAGTCTTATTGGTGAAAACCCATATGGGCACCATAAGGCGACGGTTAGTAGAGAAATGAGAGAGGTTAGTTAGCGAAAACCTGCAAAAGGCGCTACTAGCCGAATGAGGGTCTTTGATTCTCCGGCATGAGCACAACCAAGACAAATTCAAGATGAACGTTTGCGGCGGATTTTGAGAATTAGACAGCTTAGACGGATCAGGCGTCCAGTCCAAAATGCATGTCATGATTCATTGAAGTCGGCACATACCTCCAGATAAGTCTCCCTATTCCTTTCCTCGAAAGGGACATCTTCTGTTTAAACACTGTTCTTTTTTACTTTCAATTATTATTCCGTTTTTACCATAATTTTTCTTTGAGTCCCTTTCGGTCTAATCCTGCATCAAAAGCAAAACAAAGAAATGGCTGCAAAACTAGCTACAATTCCCCCGTAATATCGAGCACAATTTGGGGCATATATGGCATTGGCGAAGGCACGAATCCATCTGAGATCTCATTTGATAAAGCAAACAAAGTGTTTTAAAGAAACTAAAAAGTCGCATGAGCAGGACCTGCTTCATGAGAAAGTTGATAAGCACTACGGACACAAACTGATACTGGGTGCAAGACAACTGAGTTTGATTTTAAAGAAAAAAAAGCATTGCCTTAGAGACAAGGGTAGTGGTACCATGGACATCTGGGTATGAAACAGTTGGGGGAAATAATGTAAATCCAAGGTCTCTAGAAAATGATACAGAGCAGCCGAGCATCTCGGTACCACGCTGACAGAATCGGTTCTTCGACAGCAGTGGCCGTGAATCAAACTACTCAAGGCATCAAGGGATCAAGGCCACAAACCAACCACCACTTTGAAAACTCATAAATCTTTCTTTGTTTGAAGCAGGAACAAAGCGGTGCAGAATGGAAATTCTAAAAGATGAACGTCACCAAACGTAAGCTTCTTAAAATCTCCATTTTTTCTCTTTTCAGCATGCATCACTATTGTTCACACCTCCCATTTTCGTAGCTTAACTCAGGTAGAATCTTTTCGCCTAGGGGATCCAGCTCATAGTTCCGAGTAGAAGTACTCTTCGCTCAGGGTGTTTTACGCAGCTTAACTCAGGTAGAATCCGTTTCTCCTAGGGGCATCCAGCTCATAGTTTCGAGTAGAAGTACTCTTCGCTCAGGGTGTTATACGCAGCTTAACTCAGGTAGAATCTTTCACCTAGGGGGATCCAGCTCATAGTTCCGAGTAGAAGTACTCTTCGCTCAGGGTGTTTTACGCAGCTTAACTCAGGTAGAATCCTTTCGCCCAGGGGGATCCAGCTCACAGTTCCGATTAGAAGTACTCTTCGCTTAGGGTGTTTTACGCAGCTTAAATCAGGTAGAATCCGTTTCACCTAGAGGGATCCAGCTCATAGTTCCGAGTAGAAGTACTTTTCGCTTAGGGTGTTTTACGCAGCTTAACTCAGGTAGAATCTTTCACCTAGGGGGATCCAGCTCATAGTTCCGAGTAGAAGTACTCTTCGCTCAGGGTGTTTTACGCAGCTTAACTCAGGTAGAATCCGTTACGCCTAGGGGGATCCAGCTCATAGTTCCGAGTAGAAGTACTCTTCGCTCAGGGTGTTTTACGCAGCTTAACTCAGGTAGAATCTTTCGCCTGGGGGGATCCAGCTCATAGTTCCGAGTAGAAGTATTCTTCGCTCAGGGTGTTTTTACGCAGCTTAACTCAGGTAGAATCCTTTCGCCTAGGGGTATCCAGCTCATAGTTCCGAGTAGAAGTACTCTTCGCTCAGGGTGTTTTACGCAGCTTAACTCAGGTAGAATCCGTTTCGCCTAGGGGGATCCAGCTTATAGTTCCGAGTAGAAGTACTCTTTGCTCAGGGTGTTTTACGCAGCTTAACTCAGGTAGAATCTATCGCTTAGGGGGATCCAGCTCATAGTTCCGAGTAGAAGTACTCTTCGCTCAGGGTGTTTTACGCAGCTTAACTCAGGTAGAATCCGTTTCGCCTAGGGGGATCCAGCTCATAGTTCCGAGTAGAAGTACTCTTCGCTCAGGGTGTTTTACGCAGCTTAACTCAGGTAGAATCCTTTCGCCTAGGGGGATCCAGCTCATAGTTCCGAGTAGAAGTACTCTTCGCTCAGGGTGTTTTACGCAACTTAACTCAGGTAGAATCCTTTCGCCTAGGGGGATCCAGCTCATAGTTCCGAGTAGAAGTACTCTTCGCTCAGGGTGTTTTACGCAGCTTAACTCAGGTAGAATCCGTTTCGCCTAGGGCGATCCAGCTCATAGTTCCGAATCGAAGTACTCTTCGCTCAGGGTGTTTTACGCAACTTAACTCAGGTATAATCTTTCGCCTAGGGGGATCCAGCTCATAGTTCCGAGTAGAAGTACTCTTCGCTCAGGGTGTATTACGCAGCTTAACTCAGGTAGAATCCTTTCGCCTAGGGGGATCCAGCTCATAGTTCCGAGTAGAAGTACTCTTCGCTCAGGGTGTTTTACGCAGCTTAACTCAGGTAGAATCCTTTCACCTAGGGGGATCCAGCTCATAGTTCCGAGTATAAGTACTCTTCGCTCAGGGTGTTTTACGCAGCTTAACTCAAGTAGAATCCTTTCGCCTAGGGGATCTAGCTCATAGTTCCGAGTAGAAGTACTCTTCGCTCAGGGTGTTTTACGCAGCTTAACTCAGGTAGAATCCTTTTGCCTAGGGGGATCCAGCTCATAGTTCCGAGTAGAAGTACTCTTCGCCCAGGTTGTTTTACGCAGTTTAACTCAGGTAGAACCGTTTCGCATAGAGGGATCCAGCTCATAGTTCCGGGTAGAAGTAATCTTCGCTCAGGTTGTTTTACGTAGCTTAACTCAGGTCGAACCTTTTTCACCTAGAGGGATTTGACACTTTATCAATAATACATGATGCTAACACCTGATTCTATTTCCTTTCAGTAAGATAGGATGCCAGCCCCTAGTTACATTTCCCTTCAGTACTACGGGAACCAATCCCTAGTTGCACAATCATTCGTTACCAAATTTTATCTCTTTTAGCTAGTTTATACTACTATTTTTGTCTGCCTTTCAATAAATTAGATAGTTTATTGCTTTCGCTGATAACTCACAAAATTTTCCTAGTCCAAACTGGGGCAAAAAAATTTTGTTTGTTTTGTTCGTCTTTGATGGCTTTGCAGGCCTCACCGCAGAGCACAGGTTATAACGATCGAAGCTTGCAGTTTCAGTTATCATCTGAAGGACGATCACAGGATAGTTTGGGTTTAACTTTGACAACGTGTCGGCAACACAGCTTCTCAAGTTTCATTTTCTCAAAATTCTGATCCAGAAAGCAAGCAATCGAGATTGAGTCATAATCTCTTCTTTAAAGAGAATCAAGATCCAGTCTAAGGTTAACATAAGAGAGCACGTCAAGAATCAAGATTTGACTCCAGAAGACACGTAGATAGGAATTTTGCACTCTTAGTTTGCAGACATATGTAGTGCTCTTCTCTTTTTCATTTGATATAAGAAGCAGTAACAGTAATAGTAACAGCAACAGCAGCAGCAGCAGCAGTCTTAACTCCAGTGTCTGGTAGTCCTTGCTACCAAATTTTTCCAGAACTACACTGACCTGATTCCTTTACATCCAAGGATATGTAAGCAACCTCGGAAGCAAGGTTCGGTCACCCCTTTTTCAAAAACGCTTTCATTAGAGTCATAGGTGAGCAAAAGTTAGCCATGGCATTCACTATCTTTACACGAAAACTCTTCATGTTCTCGAGCAAAGAGGGGCAGCTGTAAATGCCTAATTTTTGTTCTTTCTTTTACATTATAGTTTTGAATAATTATTTTTGTGTGTGTTTGGAGATTTGAGAATTAGACTTTTAGTTTAATTAACTCATTAGAGGGAAAAGGGACTGGGCTAGTATATATTAATTAAAGTTGTGCCAAAATTGGCCCAAAATTTGAGCCCAATTCGGCCATACCCGGTCCATTAGGTGGTTGGCCAAGAAAGAGTTCAAAACGACGTAGTTTTGTCTTGGAACTACGTCGTTTTGATAACTGAGGTGAGATTAAATCTCATCCGTTCATACCACTTTGATCTAAGGGTTCTAATTCACTCTCCACTCCATGTATATAAGGCCTCAAGATCAGAAATTTGACCCCCATTTTTTCCTATTCTCTTTTCTTCTTCCTCTCTCCTCACTCTCTCATCTTACTGCCGCCCGTCGCCGCGCAGCTCCGCCGCCGAAAATCACCCACCGGCGGCGGCCGTCCTCCAATCCACCCCAAAATTTCACCACTTCTTCCGCTCAACCTCCTCTCCATGAATCCGAACTCCAAAACCCCATAACCCTTCTCAATCTCCGTAGATCTAAGCTTTAACCAAAACCCTAGCCGCCGCCCACCACCCCAA